GCTTTGCTGGCTGAGGAATTCTGGGAGTTGAAGTCCACAAGTCTTAAAGTGGCCAAGGTTGGAGACCCCTGAATATCTGTGTGTGTGTGTGTGCACGCGCGCATGTGACATCCTTTGTCTCCCAGAAGGAGAATCCTGATTCAATCCTCCTTCTAGTCCGCACCCCCTGCTCCAATGGCTAATTTCAGAACGGGTCTCAAAGCACAAATGGGTCTCTTCCAGAGATGGTCTTCAGCAGGTTCTGACCCGTTCTGGAGAACCGGTAGTGGAAATTTGGAGTAGTTTGGAGAACCAGCAGTGTGGGATTCAAAACTTTTTTACTACTGGTTCTGTGGGCTTGGGTGGGCATGGCAGGGGAAGGATACTGTTTGCTTGGCCACTGACTCACATTTGTGATGGTTGCTGTGTCCCCTTTGGACGAGCAAACTCCATGGGGAAGCCAGGTTCATTTTAACAATCGGGTCACTAATGAACAACTGCAGCGATTCCCTTTTAACAACTGCGGCAAGAAAGGTTGCAAAATGGGGCAAAACTCACTTAACAACTGTCTCAGCTAACTCAAGTGCTGTCGTAAGTTAAGGACTGTCTGTGCTATCTCCGGTTATACCTTATGTAGCCAATGCTCCGTATCTGGAAAAAAAATATTTGTATTTATCAAATATAGAGGTAAAGATTCCCCTCGCACATGCGTGCTAGTCGTTTCTGGCTCTAGGGTTTTATCTTAGGCCATTTTTTTAAAAATGAAAATATTATGCATCTAGTGAGGAGGACATGTGAACAGCCGGTGAGTTTGGCAAAGCAGGAGCAGATCGCTGACAGCTTTTGAAGATTTAGTGGTCCCTTACTGATCCCGTTCAAAAGCCCAGTCCTATGTACAGCTCTATATTTAAACCAGGGCAGTGGTGGGATTCAAGCTTTTTTACTACCCGTTCTGTGGGCGTGGCCTGTCTTGGTGGGCGTGGCAGGGGAAGGATACTGCAAAAATCCCCATTCTCTCCCTACCCCACTAACCTGCTTTCCAGCTCCGTTCTCCTGTGCAGGGCAACACAAGAAGACCCAGCCGATCAGCTGGGACTCGATGGGAGGCAGAGAAGAGATGGGGGCGAGGCCAGTCAGACGTTTTGCAGTATCCTTCCCCTGCCAGGCCCACCAAGCCACGCCCACCAAGCCACGCCCACAGCACTGGTAGTAAAAAAAATTTGAATCCCACCACTGGTTCGGAGTTCTTCAGCTGACACCCCCTGACTCTCTCTCCCTCTGGGTTCTGTTAAGGCTCCTTCTCACACTCCTTGAAGTTTACCTCCTTCACCATTTCGGAGCCCAGTCAGGGGCTGCCTCACTTTGTGATGCTGGTGGACGTGGATGATCATGTCCTTCTTCACTATGACCGCGAGACCAGGAAGATGCAGCCTCGCGTCTCCTGGATAGAGAAGTTGAAGGAGGATGACCCGGAATTCTGGGACGAACTGTTCAAGGAAGCACATGAGGTTGAGAAGGTGTTCGTATATGGCCTGGAGCTTGTGAGGATTTTCTCCAGTCATAGCGAAGGTGAGTGATGGGTTCTAGAGAAAAAAGAAATGGGGGTCCCTCCCGGGTTAAAGGCTGTTTCCTAACTTTTGAAAAGATTTTTGTTTTGAAAAATATGTTTATTGCTTTAAAAATTAATCATGTTTATCCTTGCCCCATAAGTGAAGTTTTCTGTGCGTGTTATAATTATTAAAGGCAGATGGGCAATCGAAAATGTCGTGTCCGGCGCAGGAAGGAAACTCGGAGTCAGTGACTAATTTCAGCTCTTTATTGTGCTCCGGTTACAGCTTAAAGCTGGAAGGAAAAACTGCGGCTATTTATTCCCAAGCCGCGGCGGCCCTGACCAATGGCATCGCTTTGAATCTCCCGCGCTTGGCTTATCCAATCGCGGGAGGTTCTCAACGGGCCAATCAGTGCGGCTCGCTCGGCCAATCCGGTCGCCGCGCGCTTTAGCCAATCACGACGCGGGGTTTACGAGTATGTTAATTGACTGTACAGAACACCCCTCCCCTCTTGGTTCGGTCCTACGTAACGTAGTCTCGTAAGTAGGCGGGGCTTCGTACCTGCCTACTGGACCTGCGCAGGTTAGTTGTTGTTTGGCTTTCGACCCATTCGGTCGGGGCCTCTGTGTCTCTTGGCCTCGTCGATGGAATCGCCTGGAAGGTGTTGCCGGGCCTGTCGTTGCAGCTCCCTCCCGGTCTACCCGGGTTGGTCGAGCTGCGACTTTCGCCGCTCCCGCCTGGTCTTTCCGGGCTGGTTGAGCTGGCCTGGCTGCTTCTCCCTGGTGAGGCTTCGAGTTGGCTGTTACCCGGTGAGTATTGCTGGTTATTTTCTATTCTTTCTTGGCCCCCTGTATCTTCCCTCCCCCCTTGGTTTGTGTTAATGGGGTTGCCTGTGCTCGCGTGTCGGTTGTGTTTCTTGCCCTTGATCTTAACTGATCGATGTGGCGTTTCCATGATTGTCTGTCCGTTGTTTGCAGTCTGTAGGAGTGGGGGCCTGTTAGTTGGGTTATGGTTGCCGGTACCCATAGTGGGTCTCCAGTAAGGTTTTTTGCATAGACTGCATCGCCTGGTGCAAATGCCCGGTGTTTGCTTGATGAGTCTGGGGGTTTTTCCAGGTTGTATGTGGGGTGCAGTCTGTCGAGTGGGGACCTTAGTTTCCTCCCCATCAGTAATTCTGCCGGGCTTTTGTTTGTCGTTGTATTAGGGGTTATATGTTGTATTAGGAGCATTTTATTTATTTTTTCTTGTATGTCCCCGTGTTCGATTTTTTGGATGGTTTTCTTTGTAAATTGAACCATCCGTTCCACCCTACCATTGGCCGCCGGATGTGCCGTCGCTGTCAGTGCGTGTCGTATGCCCCGTTCCGCTAGGAATTTTTCGAATTCCAGCGAGGTGAATTGGGGCCCGTTGTCTGACACGATGACATCCGGGAGACCATGGGTCGCGAACAGTTTGTTGAGTATCCTGGTGACAGCTTCTGTTGTGGTGGTTTTCATGTTGCTTACCTCCAGCCAATTGGAGTAAGCATCCACCGTGATGAGGAATGTGTTTCCTCTTGTGGGGCCGGCGAAATCTATATGTATTCTGGACCATGGCCCCCTGGGGGTCTCCCATTCTAGTATCGGCGCGGCAGGGGGATTTGGTCTGGTTTCTTGGCAGCGTGAGCACCTGGCCACCCAAGCCTCAATTTCCTTGTCCATGCCTGGCCACCAAGCGTAGCCAAGGCTTTTGTTCGTACGATGCCCGGGTGCCCTTCGTGCAAAAGTTTTAAAACTTTCCCTTGTAGTTTTTCTGGTATGACCACCCTGTCCCCCCATAACAAACAACCTTTTTGCAAAGACAGTTCTGTTTGGCGGTTTCGGAATATCCTGAACGATTCGTCGTTGTCTTTTTCCGGCCACCCTTTTTCTACCCAATGCAATACCCGCGCCAGACGTTTGTCTTTATTAGTCTCTCGGGCAATGTCTGACGCAGTTATGGGTAGGTCGGGCAATGCCTCTATGCTGAGGGTGGTCGTCGTGGGGGCCGGGTCGTCGTCGAGGTCGGGTAATGGCGAGCGGCTCAGTGCGTCTGCATGGGTGATTGTCTTACCGGGGTGGTGTGTGAGCCGGTAGTCGTAGGCGGCGAGGAACTCAGACCACCTTGTCATCCTGGGGGATAGGATGTTCGGGGTGGCCTTGTTCCCCGCCAGGATTCCCAGCAGCGGCTTGTGGTCCGTGATAATGGTGAATCGGTGGCCGTAAAGGTACTCGTGGAATTTCTTTACTGCTGCAACGATGGCCAGGGCTTCCTTGTCCAGTTGGCTGTAGTTTCTTTCTGGTTTGCTAAGTGTCCTTGAAAAGAAGGCAATGGGTGCTTCTTTTCCGTCCGACAGGGTATGGCTGAGGACGGCGCCGACGCCAAAAGGTGAGGCGTCGTATGTGATGGTGAGGGGTAGGGTCTCATTGTATTGTATGAGGACGGCATCCGAGGTTAGCAGGTCCTTGGTTTTCCTGAATGCGGCGTCCTCACGTGTCCCCCAGGTCCATTTTGCCGTCTTATCCAGGAGCCTATGCAAAGGCTCCGCCGCGGTCGCCTTTTGGGGCAAGAACACATTGTAAAAATTTAGCAGTCCCAGAAATGCCTGCAACTCTGTTTTGTTCTTGGGGATGGGGGCTTCCTTGATGGCTTTTATTTTGTTTCCGGTCGGGTGGATGCCATGTCGGTCTAGGAGGTACCCCAGGAACTCGACTTGCTCTGTGCAAAGCTGGCATTTCTCTCTCCTCACTTTTAGACCGGCCCCTTTAAATTTCTCAAGTACCTCCCTTAGGCGACCCTCTAGTTCTTCCCGGTTGGCTGCTGACACTAGTACGTCGTCGAAGTAAGGGACCACCCCTTTTATCCCCTGCAGTAGTCTCTCCATGAGGCTTTGAAAAATCCCCGGGGCCACGCTGACTCCAAACTGGAGTCGGTTACAACGAAACGCTCCCCGGTGGGTGACTATCGTTTGTGCCTTGGCAGTTTCTTCATCGACCGGCAGCTCCCGATAGGCTTGCGCCAGGTCGAGCTTCGCAAAAACTTTGCCCCCCCCCCAGTGAGTGAAGTAGGTGTTGCACTACTGGGACGGGGTAGGCGCCTTGTTGCAAGGCGCAATTGAGGGTGGCCTTATAGTCCCCGCAGATCCTTATTGACCCATCTGGCTTAACTGGGGTGACTATGGGGGTCTCCCACCGGACGTGGTCAATTGGCTGCAAAACCCCCTGTTTGACGAGCTTGTCAAGCTGCTCGTCTATTTTTTTCCGTAGTGCAAAAGGCACCCACCTCGGTTTTAGGCGTATGGGGGCGATGTTTGGGTCTAGGCTGAAGGAGATAGGGGGCCCTCGGTACTTGCCTAGGGTGCCGTCGAATACTTCTTGGAAGTCCTTAGCCAGCTGCTGCTCCCAGTCGACTTCCTCAATGTGGTTTATTCCGGTAACCTCGATGCCAAGTGGTGCGAACCATTGGAGTCCTAGGAGGCTGGGTCGGTTCCGGTCCACAATTGTCAGGGGAGGTTTTGCAGTGTGGCCCTTGAAGGTCACCTCAAACTGTCCGGCCCCGATGACGGGGTTCCCCTGGTAGTCCTTGACCACCAATTTTTGGCTCTCCAGCCCTGCCTTTTGGATGTTTGGCACCAGCCGCTTGATTTCTTTCCAGGCGATCATGGAGAGGTAGGACCCGGAGTCCACCTCCATCCGGCAGGGCTCGCCCTCGATGTTCACTTCCACGTAGACCTTTCGGGCATCGGTGGTCTCGGCATGGCCAATCGTGACCGTCTGGTGGGTTTCCTCCCTCTGGCGGTCTTCCCCGTTTCGTCGCCCCCGGTTGTCTCGGTTCCAGCGATTGTCGGCTTGGCGCTCTCTGTGCCTGGGGGGGGTGTTGTCTCGCCTCCGGTTGCTCGGTTCTTGGCGGCGGGGGCTGTAAGTTTTTCTGAGCCGGCAGACTCGGGCGATGTGGCCCCTCTTATTGCAATGCCGGCAGGTTGCGTCGATGAAACGGCATTCTGATCGGAAGTGGTTGCCCCCGCACCCCGCTCACTGGGTCCCCGACTTACGACCTCGTTGATCTCGCTGGTCTCGTCCTGTCTGGAGCCGATGGACGTCTTCTTCTTCTTCCGGGGTGTCCGAGGCGGAGTCCAGGTCCCCGTGGTGTGTGGTGGTCTCTCGGCGGGTTGCCTCGGGGTTGTCGGCGCGGTCCATGTTCTCTGCCTTCCGCAGTCGGGCCGCTGACTTTTCGGTGGCTTCGGCTGCCGAAGCTTCCGCCATGGCGGTGGCGAGGTCGATGTCGCCTTTTGCCATCAGGCGGCTCTTCAGTGCCTGGTCCCGGAGACCTAGGACCACGCGGTCTCGGAGGACGTCGTCCAAGTCCTGGAACTCGCACAGGCCCCCGAGGTCCCGCAGGTCGGCTATGAAATCGCTGACGCTCTCGTCCTGCCGCTGGTTCCGCCGGTAGAATTCGTCCCGCCGGATGAGGATGGGCATGGTGGGGGCGTAGTGGTTTTGGAGTAATGGCGCAAGGTCGGCCCAGTCCATCGCCTTTACATCTGCAGGTTTTGCGAGGGCTTTTGCCATCTTGAACACCGCAGGCCTGCAGTGCGTCAGGAAAACGGCCCTTTTCTTCTGTCCGTTCGCGTCCTTCAAGTTGCTACTCTCGAGGAACATTAGGAATCGGTCTGTGTACGATTCCCAGTCCTCGGTAGCCGGGTTGAATGGCGCGGGCGGGGTGATGCCGGCCATCTAGTCGGTCTTTGTCTTCCTCCGGACACGTGCTCGGTGGTTCTTCCTTGGATCCCACCTTCGTCGCCAGTGTCGTGTCCGGCGCAGGAAGGAAGCTCGGAGTCAGTGACTAATTTCAGCTCTTTATTGTGCTCCGGTTACAGCAGGGGTCCCCAACCACCGGTCCGCGGACCGGTACCGGTCTGCAGAACAAGTCTTACCGGGCCGCTGGTTGCTGGGTGCCGCCATCTTTTTTGACGAAAAAGTGCTTCCGGTGAGGTCACCGGAAGCACTTTTTCGTCAAAAAAAGATGGCGGCGCCCAGTTGATGCCAGTACCGGGCCGCGGCGCCCAGCTGATGCTGGTACCGGGCCGCGGCGTCAAAAAGGTTGGGGATCCCTGGGTTACAGCTTAAAGCTGGAAGGAAAAACTGCGGCTATTTATTCCCAAGCCGCGGCGGCCCTGACCAATGGCATCGCTTTGAATCTCCCGCGCTTGGCTTATCCAATCGCGGGAGGTTCTCAATGGGCCAATCAGTGCGGCTCGCTCGGCCAATCCGGTCGCCGCGCGCTTTAGCCAATCACGATGCGGGGTTTACGAGTATGTTAATTGACTGTACAGAACAGAAAATGTGAAAAATAAGTAAATTAAACATGTTTAAATTTAAAAAAAAACCAAAAACCATATAATATCGGAGTGATGTAAAACAAGGTAAAGAGGAGGAAAGAGAGTGAACTCCACACTGCTGTGGGGGAAAAGGGGAATGGTAGCTTTCCCCAGCTCCATCCTTGAAGGCAAGTGCTTCTTTTTCTTCCCTTTTTTTGTATTTTTTTGTATTTTTAACAACAAACATAAACAAACACCAAAACACAAAAAATGAAATAAAATCTTCTTTCCATTGTACAGTGTGTCGGTTGGTACATATCCTTTGTGCACAATATCAACAGTCATTCCCTTTTGGTTTTATGTTACATTTCATAATGTATAAAGCTACTGTCCACTTGATATCATATTATTATCAAATCATTATTAGACTATGATTACAAATTCACATCATCCTTTTCGAGCAAGTCTCAACTTTTACAAAACCTGGTTCATTCATTTCAAAATAAACAATTATAACCTATCATTACATTATATTATCTTTACTATTATATTGTATTAATACTATTGTCAGGTAACAGAACTTTTCCCATTCAATCAACAAGAATGCACTTCTGAAAACCAAACGTATCAAAAGGAATCCTTCATTGAGATGAGACAATTCATGTAGGGATTAAAAGCAGCATCTAACGTGCCTCAGCCATTCAGGGACAGATAAGGGAGTTTAAGACCTTTCCCCTTCTCTTGATGTGTATTTAGCAAAACAAAGAGCCAACATGTTTATTCCCCCCCCCCCACTCTTCTGAGAACGATCTTTTTTGGGGTTCCCAGGTGACATCTCCCAGCAGGAATTTTTATGGTCTCTTCATCCTGTGGCTGTCTCTTTACAGAGGTGACAGGTTTCCGGGCGTCTGGTTTCCGTCCCTCCATAGTATATCATGGGTTATCCAAATTCAATATAAGATTTAATATATCCATGTTACATCAAAAGGGGTTTCTTATACCAACTCCCCCCACCCCTTCTTCCATGAAGAATGGCAGATACATGGGTCTGACAACTATAGTGTATTTTATTTCTCTTTTTTCTTATCTAGCCAGTGACAAAATAAATTCCTAATTTTATTCTTGTTCTGTAATAGCAAATGTCAATCTACTCATTTCTGCACATTCCATTATTTTCTTTATCACCTCCTCTTCTATTGGATTTTGTTCATTTTTCCAGTTTTGCGCAAATACAATTCTAGCAGCTGTCGGAACATTAATAATCAAATATATCAATTCTCTACTTTATCCTTCAGGCAAGATACCCAATAAAAATATTTCAGGTTTCAAGTCTATATGTTGTTTTGTCATTTTTTCCAACCATGGATGAATTTCCGTCCAGTATCTTTTGGCTTCCACACACATCCACAAGGAGGCTCCTGGTGGAAGGGCCTTCTGTTGGTTTCCGCCAGTGGTGCGTTTCAAAATAGTTTACCACCAGTTCAGTGGGCGTGACTTGGTGGGCACGCTTGGTGGGAGAAGAGGGAGGAAAATGGCGAGGGAGAATGTTTGGAGAGCGCGATTAGGGGTGCAGGATGAATGGGGAGACTCAATGTCTCATCCAGAGGGACTGAGGAACTTCATGGGGCAAAATGCATTGCTTTCATCTTCCAGTCATTTGTCCCTTTTCTTGTTGGCTCCTCCCTGAGTCAAAGTCCCTGCAAGAATGGCATTGTCTGTCTCTTCTGAGGATACCTCAAACTATAATCCTTTCTTCCTTTCAGGCCTTCGTGTGGTGCAGGTCATCGTAAGCTGTGATCTCCAGGGAGATGGGAGCAAAAGAGGGTTTGCACAGACGGCTTATAATGGGGAGTCTATGATGCCACCATCCACCATGGATAAGTCTGAAATGGAGGAATGCATTGCTTTGCTAGAGAAGTTCCTGTCTTACGGGAATGAGACGCTGCTGAGGACAGGTGAGTATCTGGATCCAGGCTGGACTTTCCTCCTTTCTGATCTGTTTTGGGCCCCTGGTCTGCAGCTTGGCTGTCCAGAAAGCAACCCTCCCGCCCCCTCCAGGACACAGGAAGCCATTAAACGGAGCATGAAATGCAGCCTCTGCCTGGTGGGTCTCTGTGTGGATCAGGCCGCAAAAGCACTTAGGGGTGTCCTCTTCACAGCTCATGATGAAGCAACATGGGGCTATTCAGTGGAACCACCATTAGTGTTGTGGTCCGTCAGCAGCCTGCGGAGCTGGCAGCAGAGTTGAACAGTGGGGAGGAACATGGGCCAGTCTGGGAGTCTGGGGAGGCCTTGGACGAGGGATCTGCGTCTGATACAGAGATGGGGCCAGGGCCATCTGGGAATTACGTGCTGACTCCGGAGCCTCCAGAATCTGACAGCAGTGAGGCAGAGGAACAGGGGGAGCCTATTCCCAGCGTGTGCATGTGCAGAGCTGCCAGAAGGCAAGAGCAGCTAAAACAAAAGGGGCGACTTGGGAATAAGGCTTGTAGGTGATTCTATTCTTCCGCTGAAGGGAGCACTCCAACATCACTCAGAGTTCCAAGCAATCTTTATACCGTCAATTTGCTGCTGGAGGTTTTTCAAGCTGAGTCCCTGGAAAGGACTCATAATCAGGAGTCCTTGTGGTTGAACATTTTCCAGATTTGGAGTATTTCCTAAAACTTTCGGGATGTTACAGTTATAGTGTGTTAAATCCTTGAGTAAGACCAAGTAGTGGGAGAGTTGTCTGCTCCTTCAAGTTTCTCATCCACGTTCCACGCTCTGAAGAGGCTCAGAGTTAATTCTAGTGATGTTGTTTCTGCAGATCCTCCAGTGGTGACAGTGATCAGAAGGGTGGAGGCCGAAGATGAGAAGGAAACACACATTTGTCGGGTCCATGGCTTTTATCCCAGGGTGGTCAATGCCTCCTGGACGAGGGACGGGGAGGTCTGGCTGCAGGACACCCTCCATGGATCTGTGGCCCCCAACATGGATGGGACCTACCACTACTGGCTCAGCATCCAGATTGATCCTGAAGAGAGGGGACGCTATAAATGCCACGTGGAGCACGACGGCCTGCAGGAACCTCTGGACGTGGCTTTGAAGGGTGAGGAGCAGCAGGGTGAGAAAGGCTGGGTTCTTTGGCAGGATGAAGGATTGTGGGAGAGAAATTTGACCCCAGCTGTGTCTAGATGTGACCCTGCCTGAAATTTAATCCATTGGTTTTCCCACTGTTGAAGTATGTAGACCTGCAGGGACCAGTCCATAGAATTGGCCTCAGGTAATTTAAAGGAAGCAACAAATCCCGTCATAACTGTTAGGGATATACACCCTAGCAGAACCTGCATGGCAGTCAGGCAGGCAGGCAAATATGTGAGACAAACGTTTTTGTAGCTTACACTCAGTAAAACAGATACGTTGTGCTAGTTAAATAGTTTATTCCAGTAATA